TATCTATCTATCTATCTATCTATCTATCTATCTATCTATCTATCTATCTATCTATCTATCTATGGTATATATATAAATGTGTATATGGCATTCAGCTTTGTTCGGGTATTTTCCCATGTCATTGTAGTTGTGCTTTTAAAGTTGTAGCAACGTTTCGGCAGAATCTCATCTGCCATCATCAGGCTTCTGTATAGTGTTCATCTGTCATACATGTAAGTACCCGCGAAAACTTGAGAAAACAAATGTGTATATATATATATATGTATATATGTGTGTGTGTGTGTGTGTGTGTGTGTGTATAATTATTTCTTGTTAAAATTATATCTTTCTTTTTCTTTTTCCTAAGTATATAGGACACCTACTCCCACCAAGCCATGCCCACAGCTGATTGGCTGTCTTCTTTGGTTGCCCTGCACAGGAGAACGGAGCTGGAAAGCAGGTTAGTGGGGTGGGGAGGGAATGGGGATTTTACAGTATCCTTCTCCTGCCACGCCCACCAAGCCACGCCCACAGAGCCGGTAGTTAAAAAAAATTGAATCCCATGGCTGAATACAACCAGGCAGGAGGACAGACAGCTGAGCTTCAGTGCTCAGTAATTTTATTTCTGAATCACCATAAAACAGTCCCTGGCTTCGTGCATCTACAAAGGACCACAATCTGGTGGTTAAGTTTTGGCTCAGCAAGTTGTATGAATGCCACACTGTGGGTTGCATGTTATGGTGTACATCTTAGCGTTGCTACGCAAATCTGGCCACTAAATTAGTCAACAAGCCATAACTAAAACAAACAATGTGTAATCCAGCCTATACACACACACACACACACATACAGTACACACACCCAGAGACTATACAGTTTCGACAAGGAACCTATCAGCCTTTCATCTTTCATCATCGTAAGATTATGAAACGAAATGGATCCTGGAGGAGGCGGGAGGGCACAGAATCTATAATCCAGATTCCTGATCCACTATGAAGCCCTTAAAGTGATCTTGCACAGTTCAAGTGGCTTAGTGAAGGGGCCCAATTCCCTACGTTCACAAACACAAAAGCTCCTCAATTAACTGTCCCAACTGGGCCACGCTAGAGAGACAGTCCTCCACTTATGACCATAAGTGAAGTGAACCCCTGCGATTGTTAAGTTAGTAACACGATTGTTAGGTGAACCTGGCTTGCCCATTGCTTGTCAGAAGGTCGCAAAAGGAGATGACATGACTCTGGGACAGGGGTCTCCAACCTCGGCAACTTTGAGACTTGTGGACTTCAACTCCCAGAGTTCCTCAACCAGCATAGAATTCTGGGAGTTGAAGTTCACAAGTCTTAAAGTTGCCAAGTTTGGAGACCCCTGTAATAGGATTAACCCATTTAGCAGCAGTGCTCACCACATGGCACCATCACCTGGGGACACTGCATCCCCCAGCAAACTTCAACCAAACCTGGGACTCAAGACAACCTACAAAGCTATGACATCTGCAACAGCCAATAGAATACATGTTCTTGCACAGGAACAGGAAGCTCAAGTGCAAAGCCCAAGAGAAGCTTCGCTGGCTGAGGAACTCTGGGAGTTGAAGTCTGCAAGTCTTCAAGTTGCCAAGGTTGGAGACCCCTGATCTGGGAAACTACAACCGTCATAAATATGAACCAGTTTCTGAATTTTGTGACTATGTGACTACGGGGATTCTGCAATTATCCTAAGGGTGAAAAAAGACCATAAATCACATTTTGGGGGGCCATTGTGACTTTGGTCACTAAACAAACTGTTGTAAGTCGAGGACTACCTGTAGTTACCAAACCACGCTTTAGCCTAGAGTATTCTGTGAAGAGCCACTGTCTCTCAACTTGAGTTATTTTGCAGGATTCTTAGGCGGATTTAAAAAAAGGGGCGAACCAGGTATTTTGTGCTAAAGTCATCATAGGAGAGTTAATAACTATAATAGGGGATGCGGTGGCACAATGGCTAAGACGCTGAGCTTGTCAATGAGAAAGGTCAGCAGTTCAGCGGTTCGAATCCCTAGCGCTGCGTAATGGAGTGAGCTCCCGTTACTTGTCCCAGCTTCTGCCAACCTGGCAGTTCGAAAGCACGTAAAAAAATGCAAGTAGAAAAATAGGGACCGTTTTGGTGGGAAGGTAACAGCGTTCCGTGCGCCTTCGAAGGTGTTTAGTCATGCCGGTCACATGACCATGGAGACATCTTCAGACAGCGCTGGCTCTTCGGCTCTGTGACAGAGATAAACACCGGCCCCTAGAGCCGGAAATGACCAGCACGGATGCGCGAGGGGAAGCTTTACCTTTAACTCTATAATGAATCTGGAAAATATTTGAGATGAAGGAGTTGCAGTGGCAAAATATTAATTTGGGGATACGGTACAAACTGATGTAGTGATATCTTTATGCAGATAGTCCTTGAGTTACAACCATTCATTTACAGGAGGGAGCATTTGAAGCGAATTATTGAACAGCGCTGAAAAAAGTGACTTATGACTGTTTTCCGCATTTACAAACGTTGCAGCATCCTCACGAATACATGATCAAAATTCAGACATTTGTATCAAATTTAATTAGTGGAATGGCTTGCCTCCCAAAGTTGCCTGCTTGACGATCAGCTGTTTCTGCGCATGCGGCAATGCTGGAAATGGGAAGAGATGGTCTTCCGGTTTCCGTTGTGGGCATGCGTGCTGGCCAGCTGATCGTGGCACGCGCATGCGCACCAGTAACTGGAAGACAAATTGTTCAGTGCTCATGTGCAGGTCGGAAAGCGGAAGTTCATTTTCCAGCACGCGCATGTCCACTGGGCAACTTCTCTTCCGGGGTGCATCCCTGACGAGCATGTGCATGCGCGCACTCCCTTTTCGGCACTTACTGCTATAGGGCAAGGGGTCTCCAACCTTGGCAACTTTAAGCCTGGGGGACTTCAACTCCCAGAATTCCTCCTCCAGTCATGTTAGCTCAGGAATTCTGGGAGTCGAAGTGCACAAGTCTAAAACTTGCCAAGTTTGGAGAACCTTGCAGTAGACCAATCCCAACTCATAGACCAAACCCCGCTCCCTTCTAGCACTGATCGTATTACCTAGTTGGGTAATGAAACATCTGCAAGAAAACCACCAAGCTCAGGGAACATCAAAGACCCCACTGTTCAACTCTGAGCTACAAATATTATCTTCTATAAGGCCAGAGGTCTCCAACCTTGGCAAGTTTAAGACTTGTGGACTTCGACTCCCAGAATTCCTCATCCAGTCATGTTAGCTCAGGAATTCTGGGCGTTGAAGTCCACAAGTCTTAAACTTGCCAAGTTTGGAGACCCTTGGTTAAGTTAGTTATAGTTTAGGCCATGCCTGAATTAATTCTGAAACTCTTGAGTTCTTGTCTGGACCATCCATTCCCCAGTCTTTCTTCCCAATTCTTTCCACGTCGGAACTGGAAGGCAAGATTTCAGCCAGCTCTCTCCAAGGAGGCCCTCAAAAGTTAAGGGTCTGACTCACATCCCCCAACACATTTTCTCTTCCACTCTGTCCATAGTCCCCATTAGCCAGACTGTTTTCTCTCTCGGTGACCCTAAACCGTATCTTGCTTGCTTGCTTGCTTTTTTTCTGTTTGTGTGTGTGAGAGAGACAGGATGTGCAAAACAGGACGAGTCCTGATAAGGATGGCCTTGCTACTTCAGACCAAAAAAATGTCCAGGGACTTCTCTGTCCTGACAAATACTTCACTGTTTCTCCACTTCAGCAACTCTAAGAAGGGGTGTGTGAACTTAAGAAGGGTGTGAAGTCCACGCTTCTTAAAGTTGCTTGAGTTGAGAAAGGCTGGGATGGCTTTTTAGGGCCAAGGTCTTCTCTGCTCTGCTCAAGCTACGGCAATCACTCCTATGCCCGGCTTATTTGCTTCCTCCTTCTGCCACCCCAAATCCTCCCAGATACACGGAATTTTCAAGGCGTGGAAAAGTGGCACCCTGCGGGATGCTTCGATTCGGCAGGCCAGCTCGTCTCTTAACACCCACAGACACAGACACAAACACACACCTCCTTGCAAGGGAAAGGAAGCAGCACTCCTGAATGAAAAAAAAAAAACCCAACAACTTTCTACCTCTCCAACTTTTCTTCTTTCAACCCTCCAGTTGAAAGCAACTTTCTTCAACATGCTGCAGATCGGAAATGCACTCAAAAAGCATCTGAGAGCGTTTAGGGACGGAAAGCTACCCTCCTCCTCCTCCTCCTCCTCCTCCCGCCTTCAGCAGGCTGCTTTCCATCCCTCACCCCCCCTCCCCTCTTACAAATTTTCCTCCAGGCAGGCGGGCAGCAGATCCACCCGAGATGCTTTCGGGATGACGCTACCCTTGCCAGCCAAGGTGTGGCTGCCGGCTGGCAGCAGGAAGGAAACAGCAAGTGGCAAGCCGGGCCACTCAGCGTGCCAGCGTCTAAACAGTTGTGCCAATCTTTACACCCTCCACCCCACCCCCCCAAAAAACACACACCCCTCCTCCAATTCCACATACTCACCAGCGGGCAGGGAAGGCCAGGGAAGAGGGGCAGGCAGAGGAATTCTGCGTAGAGAAAGGGGAAAAAAAAGAGAGAGCTGACACAGAGAGCGGTACGGGGAAGAGTCTGGTTTTGTGTCGAGGGGCGGAAACCAGCCAGCAACAAAATAGTTAGCCAGCGGAGAGGGGGGGAGGGAAGCTGGGCCCACGGGGGGGGGGGGGGAAACCGGGGGGGGGGGGGTGAAGCGGGCGGGCGGGCAGGACATAGCAGGGTCCTAAAGGCCAACTGGTCTAAAGGAGAACAGGCAGGATGGATACCCAACCGGGCGTTTGGAAGAGGCGCTGGCCAAGTGTTCTTTTTTAAACGAATCCCATCCAACGTCCAGCGACAAAGAGCCCGTTTCAATGGGAAGAAATTTCTCAAATCTACGGAGAAATGTCCTGACAGCGGGAACAATTAATCAGCAGGACGACTGAAGCCCAGAAATTCCATCGCTGGAGGTTCTTAAGAAGAAGACAGACACTTGTCTGAAATAGTGTAGGATCTCCTGCTTGAGCAAGGGGCTGGACTAGAAGACCTCCAAGGTCCCTTCCAACTGTGCTGTAGTGTTGTTGAATCCTATTTCGTTTATTGTTACTGTTCAGGTTTCTAATTTTAATGCTTGATGTTTTAATATTTCTAACTCTTCACTGCTTATATTTTCCTTATTTTCACCCCGCCTTTTTTATTATTTTTACAAATAACTCAAGGCAGCAAAGATATCCAATGTGCACCATATTCCTTCCTCCTCTTCTTTTCCCCAAGACAACAACCCTGCAAGGTGGGTTGAGCCAAGAGAGAGGGATTGGCTGGAAATCACCTAGCTGGCTCTCATGGCTAAGATGGGACTTATTAATTTATTTGTTGTTTTTACGATAATTAATCTAAGATGCCTGGACTTGCTTGACAGTGAGATGGGCGGCATATAAATTGAATTAATAAATAAAAATAATATACATAAATAACAACAGCCTAGCCTGTTTCCCTTCTGCTTTCATTGGGGGGAAATTTTAATTCTACTTCATTCGACGTTATTTATAAAACCGCCTGAGACGGTGAGAAAGACAGCATAAAAACTTAATAATAAATAAAAATAATAATTTAATTTCAGACATTACTCTATGGAATAATTAGAATTAGAATTTTTTTATTGGCCAAGTGTGATTGGACACACAAGGAATTTGTCGTGGTGCAAATGCTCTCAGTGCACATAAGAGAAAAGATACATTTGTCAAGAGTCAAGAATCATCAGGTACGACACAATAATAGTCATAGGGTACAATAAGCAATTGAATCATACTAGGAAACAGTCAATATAAATTGTAAGGATAGAAGTGACAAAGTTACAGTCATACAGTCATAAGTGGGAGGGGATGGGTGATAAGGAGTTATGAGAAGATTAACAGTAATAGTAGTGCAGACTTTGGACAGTGTTAAGGGAATTATTTGTTTAGCAGAGAAATGGCTTTCGGGGAAAATTGGTTGCAATCCTAAAAAGGCGGATTCACTTAACAATCCTGCTACTAATTTAACAACTGCAGTGATTCACTTAATAACTATGCCAAGGAAGGTCTTAAATGGGGCCAAACTCATTTAACAAATGTCTCACTTAGCAACAGAAATGTTGGGCTCAATTGTGGTCGTACGCCAAGGACTGCCTGTCCTGAGAATAACAATGGATAGCCAATAAATATACAACATACAGCATGCTGACTGGCTGGGGAATTCTGGGAGTTGAAGTTCACTCATCTGGAAATTGACATATTTGGAAAAAAACCAATATAGAAGCCACTGTGTAAGATCCACTAACAAAAACCAGCAAAATACTGTGGACATAATATACTTAGATTTCAGCAAGGCATTCAACAAAGTAGACCACAACTTACTTTTTTGGTAAGCTAGAAAAAAGTGGGATATATAGCACTGGATTCACAACTGGCTGACAAACCGTACTCAGCGAGTAGTCCTTAATGGGTCTAAGGCTACATGGAGGGAAGTAAGCAGTGGGGTGCCACAAGGTTCCGTCTTAGGCCCAGTACTCTTCAATATCTTCTAATGACTTAGATGAGGGAATAGAAGGGGAACTTACCAAATTTGCAGATGATACTAAGCTGGCAGGAATAGCTAACACCCAAGAAGATAGGCTCAAGATCCAGATGGATCTTGACAGACTAGAACACTGGGCCATATCTAATAAAATGAAATTCAATATAGAGAAAAGTAAAGTCCTACACTTAGGCAAGAAAAACCAAAAGTACACATATAGACTGGGTGAAACCAGGCTCAATAGCAGGAACTGGGAGAGGGATCTTGGAGTCTTAGTGGACAACCAGCTAAGTAGGAGCCAGCAGCACGCAGCAGCAGCCAAAAAAGCCAATGCAATCCTAAGTTGCATTAACAGAGGGATACAATCAAGGTCAAGGGGGGTACTAATACCACTCTATAAAGCCTTAGTAAGGCCACACCTAGAATACTACATCCAATTTTGGTCACCACACTATTGAGTGTGAGACACTAGAAAAAAGGCAGAGAAGAGCAACCAGGATGATTAGGGGACTGGAAGCTAAAACACACAATGAATGGTTGCAGCAACTGGGCTTGGCTAGTCTAGTAAAGAGAAGGACCAGGGGAGACATGATAGCGGTCTTCCAATATTTGAGGGGCTGCCCCAGAGAGGAAGGGGTCAACTATTTTCTAAAGCACCCGAAGGCCAGACAAGGAATAAAAGATGGAAACTGGTCAAGGAGAGATTTAACCTGGAAATAAGGAGAAACTTTCTGACAGTGAGAACAATGAATCGATAGAACAAAAGTTGCCCTCAGAAGTTGTGGGAGCGCCATCACTTGAGACCTTCAAGAAGAGATTGGACTGCCCTTTGTCAGAAATGGTTTAGGGTCTCCTGCTTGGGCAGGGGGTTGGACTAGATGACCTACAAGGTCCTTTCCAACTCAATCTGTTATCTGTTAAAAACAATATACAAGAAACCACACCACAATAATCTGCTTTCTGTTTTTCCTCCTCCTTGAATGTTTCAACTCCTATGAACTCATTGGTTTTTATCCTTCTCTGCTGTGGCTGTGCAATATGGAATAAACAACAACATCTGACTGCATTATACAAATACAGGTGGCGAGACACAAAGAGGAGACTAGGCCAACAGGAGACTATAAATAGCCGCTTTTGTCAACCTTTTACTTAAGGGCTCTATTTATGTTTATGCGCGTCCTGAAAAAACTTCATTTGTTTTGCCTTTCGCCTTTCACGGGCACAGTTAAGCTGATCATTTCAGGAACAGGCACGCCAGGAGGTGCCCAGGATGAAACTTTTGGGGTAGACTCCAGTTAAAGGCAGGAAGGTACAGCCAACAAAATAGATGATGTGTTTTTAAAACGTGATTATAGGTAGTCCTCAACTTAAAACTTGTTTGGCAGTTCGAATTTCACCAGGCTCAAAGTTGACTCAGCCTTCCATCCTTCTGAGGTCAGTAAAATGTGGACCCAGATTGTTGAGGACACTATGCGGACTCTGTAAATCGCTTAGAGAGGGCTGTAAAAGCACTGTAAAGCAGTATATAAGTCTAAGTGCTATGGCCCGGCTTCCTTCCTTCCTTCCTTCCTTCCTTCCTTCCTTCCTTCCTTCCTT